GATTGAGTTGAGTGCCTGTGTAACTGGATCCAACTTCAGCTACTCTCTTTAATGTAATAGTTATCCAATAAAAGTTGAATGACTATGATTGGAAATCAGATGTGAAGGTAATTGAATATCACAGTAACAACTTTCTTTCTCTCTCTCTCTGTCTTTACCATCTCTAACGTATGGAGCAGAACAGCAGTAATTTACAAAAAGACAAAATTGACTATTCAAAGTAGATGAAGGGTCTCATTCCTTTTTAACATGCAATAGTGATTTGAAAATCTTGTACTCTCTCCTTGAAATTCTCTCTTCTCTGTTTTTCGGTTCATCTCTCAAAACAAAATGTTCAAACGCACCAAATTTGGGAGGAAGAAGTTTAGCAAAGGAGAATCCTCAGCTGCTGTGCAAGAAACATCAGGAGGAGGGCGCATTGAATCCTGGTTCAATGGGAACCAAGAAAAGATGGACTTATTCATTCACGAAATGAGTAGGAAACAAATTAATATTCACAAGGTTCTGAAATTCTCGTGGTTGGATGCTGAAGGGTTCAGAGGTGTTCGGAAGCTGCTGCAACACCAAAAACTTCAGAAGTTCCTTGAGCTCAATGGTAGAATCTATCCTGATCTTATTAAAGTTTTCTTCACTAATCTGTCATTTGAAGGATCTACACTCAAAACTCAAGTTAAAGGAGTGGAAATAGAGATTACTCCCACTGTCTGGAAAAATGTTGTTGGACTCAAGGATGAAGGAGTGAAAGTCACTAAAGGGTATACCTCTGATGTAGAAGAATTCAACAAAGTCCAATACTTTCGCTCATGTATGAGAAATAAGTGTGACTCTGTGAGTTCCTTCAACACTGGAAAGTTGAATCTTGAAGAAAGAATTCTTACATTCATAGTGGTCTGGCAGCTTACTCCCAGGGGGAGCAATCATGCAGTACTAAATGAAGGTGATTTAGTGTTGATGTACTGTGTCCATCACAGAATCAGAGTAAACTGGGTGTTTGTCATCAAGGACCATATGATCAAAGCAAAAAGGCTAAGTGATTTTAGGTATCCTTATGCAATCCTAATTTCTAAATTTCTAACTCATTTTGGTATTGACTTGGAAGGAGAATTGGCTGAAATCATTCGCCCCACAAATGAGGTTAACAACTCCATCCTTCATAAAATGGGATTCATCAAGATTGATGGTGAGTGGATTTCGAAAGAAGAAGCTGGGAGAGAAGAAGAAGAAGAAGAGGAAGAAGATGAGAATACTGGTGCTCCGAGGCTGATGAAGCAAGACAAACAGACCCCATGGAAGATGTTATGGAAGAGCAGTCTCCATTGGAAGTTATTCCTTATGTGGCACAACCTGACCGTGGCACACCTCTTTCACAGTTCGAACGGACTATGCTGCGTCAGATGAATGAAATACAAACAAATCAAAGGAGGCACATGGAGATGACATTTGCTCTGCAAGCTCGCCAGCATCGACTGTATGAAGACTCCATTGCCAGATTTCAGCACATTGATAATCAACTAGAGGATATCTTCAACAGAATTGGTGACCTCCAATTCAATCAGGGTCCCTAGGATGGTGATGAATGAAGTTTAGTTCTTTAAGTTCACTTGTTTCTTTTGTTTTCTTTTGTTTTTTTTGTACCTACGTGGTACTTATGAGTTGTAATTAAACACTTTTTGATGAAGTCAAATAGGGGGAGAAGTATTTGCTTATAACTGACACTACACACACATCACAAAATCACATATGTCTCTGTTCTGTTATTGTTCATGCAGGTGCAGTGGTTATTTGTCTCCATCAAATAGGGGGAGATTGAAGCACTTGTTGGATTTGATGAAGACATATAGACTTATAGAGTTTAGTTTGTGGGTGTGTAGGTGAATAGGTTATAAGTTTAGAATTTAATCTCTTGATTATTCAATAGATCTTGTGATAAGCGCCTTTAAATGATGCATCTCATTGAACTTATTTTACTGCATGAAAAACCAACCTTTAAGCATTAAAAGAACAAACTGAGTTTTTCAATCTGTTAAAAAGAAGTTTCAATCTATTAAAATCACTTAAAATAGGAAATGTTCATATGTTGTCAAAATTTTAATTGATTGAATCACAGAATCAACAGGTTAAAATGTTCTTAATGATTTTTCCATATTAAAGGTTTCGCAATTTTAATCTGTTGAAATCAAGTTCAATCTGTTGAAACAGAGAGATGTTATTTTTCACTTTGAAGTATCTCAGAATTTCAATCTGTTGAAATGAGTTTTAATCTGTTGAAACAGAGAGATCATTTTTTCATTCTAAGGTATCACAGGATTTCAATCTGTTGAAATAAGTTTTAATCGATTGAAACAGAGAGCTATCATTTTTTTCTAAATTGTTTCAATCCATTGAAAGCTCGAAACAACTAATTGAATTAGTTTTAAATGAAATCAATCGATTGAAACGTCATTTTAATCGATTGAAAAATATTCTGATCGATCACAACTCAATTTTGATCGATTATATCAGGTTCTGATCGGTCATAAAGTCATTCTGATCGGTCATCTGCTACTCCAAGTCATTTTAATCGATTGAATCTATCAGTTTCTCTCTTTTATTCTATAAATACAATTTTGATTTCTCTTTTGAATATACAATTTTGGAAAACATTTGAAAGCAATCTTAGAGCTCTCATATTCGTGCCTTTCTCTGTGCATTCATAAAACTTTTCATATCATAAGGCGTTTAGATCAAGATTGTTAAAAGTTCATCAAGAGAGAAAGTTCTGAGTTAGGGAAATTTCTTCTGGACTTCTATATTGTTAAAGCTTTAGTCCAGGTTTATTCTTTTCATACACTTGTACAAAGGTTAATTGTGTAGATTGGGTTTGAATCTGCACTGGTTACAGTAACTGGGTTTGGTTACTGGGTGGTTAATTCAAGAGTCTATCTTGTGGTGTTGTAAGATAGTTCTTGGGGTAGATTGGTGTATATCTATTGGTTTATATTTTCACTTGGAATTAGTGGAACTTGGCAGATTTGTCAAGAACTGGATGTAGCTCTGAGAAAGAGTGAACCAGTATAAACTCTTGTGTTGAATTTCTGCTTTCATCTCTTTACAATTCTTGCTTATATTCTCGCTTTGTTTAAAACCAAATCTGGCTAATAAAAGATTGGATAAAGATTAACCATTCTTCCAAAAGAAAGAGTGTTTTTCAAAAAAGATTTCAAAAATTCAATTCATCCCCCTCTTGAACTCAACCATTAATTCTTACAATTCTCATGTCCGAGGTATTGTCTATTTTAAAGCTTTTGTCCGTCACAATTTTATCTTTAAACAACATCTCAGTGAATTAAGAGAAAAGAGTAGAGAGTGTATATAAACTATTTTGACTTCGACTCAAGAAAGTTCACCTTATTCAAATTTCACATTTCTTATGTTTAGCCAAAAGCTTATTTGTAGGACCTAGGTGTTTTTCACACACTTCTAAGGTAGAAAAGTATATACACAAATTATGGAGACAAGAGGAAAATTATATTCATGTAGTGCATGGATATAGTAGGAGAATGTCCATGACTTTATCCTAAATTGTTAGTATCTTGACCTGATATATATCTTAAACAAAACTGCAACTCCATTATGTTGATTAAACAAATCATATTCTCTAAATAAAGATGGAATATCTATTTTTTAATGTAATCTAATTAAGTTGTTCAGTCTTTATATAATGTTTGACCGAGAATCTCCCATTCATCTCCAACGGGATTGAGTTAAAACAAATTTAAGTTTTTTCATCGTGGAACAAAACGATTTTCATTTCACTTAACTAGTTACTTAAACCGATTGATGTAGGTTTGTTATGAGAGCTCATTTTATTTTTAAGATTGCTGTACGAAAAAATAATTAAAAAAACTATACATATCAATTAAGTTTTTACCTTAGAGTCACCTATCATTTCCAAATATATATAACAAAACACTTACTCTAATAATTTAAAAAAAAGTTATAAATATATATATATATATATATATATATATATATATATATATATATATATTTGAGTTGAAAGATATTTAATGATAAATACTCTTTGTCCTTTATACCCTTGTTTAAATAAAAATAAATCTCAATTAATTAAATTAATTTAATTTCTAAAAAATAAAATACTTGTATTCAAAAAATAGAATAAACTATCTAAATAGATAGTTCAATTCAAAAGCACAAATTCAGTTTGTTTGAACTATTTTTTAGATAAGTTATTTATTTTGAATGTTTTTTTTAATTTAATTAAGTTTTTATACAACTTAGTTCGTAGCCATGCTCCATCATCTATATATGCACTTTATAGCTTAATGAAATATTTTATTATCAAGTTATTTCGGCAGTTAGAATAACAATTTTATATAAGTTTGTTGATGTTTGGTTATCTTCCAAAGTTTCATATCAAGTAGTTTGAAAAAAGGAAGTGATAGACTACTACTATAAATAATGGGTGATGATAATTTGAGTCTACTCACCACAACAATATTAGTCTTTGGGTATATTGAGAACTTGGGTAGTTATATGTCAAGAGAGGGTTTACAATTTTTCCATGAAAAAATTGTATGAGAAGGTTTATAATTTTTTCGTGCAAAAATTGTATGATGGAGTTTGTAAAATTATATTAGAGGATTTGTAATTTTGTCCTTGTAAAAATTGTACGTTGGAAAATAAAGAATATAGGCAAGAAGTGACCGAAATTTTTTTCCCCTCTGATACACAACAAAGTTCAAATTAATCTTCAAAATATAAACAACTTAAAACTACTAAAATTTTACTATTGAAGATTTTATTTTACTAATTATTCCGGGGAATAGGTTCCAAACTCTCACGTGTGCTTTATATCCATAGAACTAAAAAGATTATTTGGAAGTCTACACATGTGGGAATATCCCAACCCTCTCTATAAATAGCTACCATCGTGGGTGTAGTACAATGTGTGCAACACAAAATATGTGTTGAGCAGTTTGTTAATTAATTACTTAGCCATGCCTGGTGGTAGTAGGAATCCTCTTGTGGTTGGGCGTGTTATAGGGGAAGTTGTGGACCCCTTTGAAAGTTCCATTCCTTTCATGGTCTCCTATGGCACCAGAGAAGTGAACAATGGTTGTGAGCTTAAACCTTCCCAAGTTGCCAACCAACCCATTGTGAGTGTTGGTGGAGATGATCTCAGGAACTTCTACACTCTGGTAATCGATTGCAGTACTTAGTTTGTGTACTTTGTTTATAGGGTTTGGTTAATCACTTCTTTACTACAAGTATTATTCAACTTTTTTCAATGGAGAAAGCTCTCAAAATACACATCTAGATTTCATCTTCATGAATTTTTTCAGATAAACCGGCTTCTGACTTACATCTTCATTTCTTCTGTTCAAGGTGTTAGTAGATCCTGATGCTCCCAGCCCAAGTAACCCTAATTGCAGGGAGTACCTTCATTGGTGAGTACATAAGACCCTTACGCTTGCTTTTCTAACATGATCTTATTACTACCATTGCATTATGTATATATACTAACATGCTTTTTCTTAATGGATTTTATGTAGGTTGGTGACTGATATTCCAGCAACTACAGGGGCTAGTTTCGGTGTGTAGTTAATTTGAAATAATTCCCTTAAATTATAAGTCAATTAAAAAGAAGAAAAAAAAAATTGTGACTAAAAATTCAACAATTAATTTCTCTGACTAATCAAATGTACATTGTAAATTGAATTTAACTTACTTTGGCGTATTGTCTAAATATTTATACGGAGAATTATAATATGTATAATTTGATAAATTTATGGATTCTAGTGGTTTAAGCTGAATGAGGAGGGGTTTTCCCTAGTTAACTTATAATCCCTAAAAAAAATGCCTTATATTATAGAATTAGGATTTTCTTTATTAGTCGAACTTATGTATTAACAAACAATTATAAAAGTATAATAATATGAATATTAAATATGATGCATTATTATATTAATATTTTATATATTGATATTACATATTAATTCTCTGTGCTAATGAAATTGTCAGTTAGCATGGTTTATCATGCTTATAACATAGACTTCCAATATTTATAAAAAGATGATTTTCTTAGTGTTAGTCAAAGATTATACTAAAATAGACTATACCAATAGAAAATGACATTTTTTTAAATTGAAAGGTGTTCTTTTCATTTTAATTTAACTATATATTTATTCATCTGGTAGATGCTGAGTTTAAAATTACCCTAACCGGGACAGACATTAAATAGTATGAAAACACTAATTAAAATTAATTATTTTTTAAAATTATTTAAATTTATAGAAAACTTATTTCTTACGATTTTTTTATAAAAAATTGTAAAAATATTCTTATGAAAATTTTTAGTAGTAAATATTTGCTAAAAAATAACTTAATGGATATAATTACTCTTTTAATCATGTCTAAAAGTCAGCGTAGTTACAAATACAGTAATATCATTTTATACTTTTCTGTGTAGTTATGAAAAACTAAAAGTTTCATAGAGAGGGAAAAAGTGCATGTAAGCATATAAAACAAACAGCTTAGTGCTTAATTTTGTAAATCATATAATACATTAAACAAGTGAGTGAGCATGGAAATGTAAAAATGACCTCCAATATAAGCATTAAAAATATTCATATGCAAAATTCTACTTAACTTTCCCATTCTATCATGCAAATTTAATTCTTTATTTATTACAACTTTAATTAAAAACACTACAATAATTTCGATTATTGTTTCATTTCACCAAGAATGCAAAAATAAAAATAATATTGAAAACATTTTCATGATCTTACATACGTTGTTTTATGTTTTTGCTGCTGCTGCATCACTGTGTTTTTTGATATACAATTTTAACAGATATAGTTAGAACATGAATATATATATATATATATATATATATATATATATATATATATATATATATATATACATAAATGAACTCAATATTTTGAATCTGCTATAGAATTGAGATGTTATAATTTGTCGACAAGTATGCGTTACTATAATTCGATTTTTGGAACCTAAATATCACATCATGCGCAACATGGCTTCATTTAGAATTAAAAGGGCTTGTCGTGCAGGAAATGGAGTATAAAAGTATTGGAATAATTTGTGTGGACCATGTTTGGTGATACGTGAAGGAAATATATGGTGTGTCTGATACACAACATCTCATGCAGGAAATTGAAATTGATTCCACGAGGCATCAAATTCTAACGAAAAGATAAATGACAACACATCCCAAAAAGATAAAAAGGCACTCTAACGAAAAGATCTAAGGCCCAAAATGCTGAATTATGATAATCTAATACCAATATCAAAGAACCGGGTATAAGATAAGAGTAGTGTAATCATGAATATGCTAATGGAGTTTTGCGTGATTTGCGCGTAGGTAACGAGGTTGTAAGTTATGAAAGCCCACGACCAGCGATGGGGATTCATCGTTTGGTGTTTGTGTTGTTCCGTCAACAGTATCGACAAAGGGTTTATGCTCCTGGATGGCGACAGAATTTCAACACCAGAGAATTTGCTGAACTTTACAATCTTGGATTGCCAGTTGCTGCTGTCTTCTTCAACTGTCAGAGGGAAACTGGTTCTGGTGGTAGGAAATTTTGAAAGCTTCATTGTACCAAATGTGAATGTTTAGTTGATAAGATTACTATACACCACCGAAATAAAGAAAGCTAATACATATATATACATAATAACACGGGTCACATAATGAATATGTAACCAAAGCACCATATGTACTACTTTATTTATAGAAAATAAAATATTGGATCTTGTCCTCAAAGTGGGTTTTGGGAGTTTATCAAGTGCCAAAGATTACAAGTTTGACTTTGAAATACAAATATTCTGCAGATTGCACAGTTATTCCTTTACAACCCTCTTCTGGTCAAAAGTATAATAAAACACAGTTTGGCCCTATGAATCAAATCGCATGAGACTATTTATTATCTTTCAATTCTCCTAAATCTAATATATATGCAGAATGTCTAATTCAGTGACTAAAAGTGAATTGAGATTATAAACTAGAGTTTGGATCATTGTGTGTAAGTGATTTATATATCGTTTTATTCTAACTTTTTGGAATGATATTAGTTTCTTTTTTTATTATTAAAGATACATGTGGATATTTAATATATTAGATTAAAGTCATTTACCACGTACGTAAAAATGAGGCCTTTTAATAATGATTATAATTGTTGTTAAAAAATACGTAGTAATAATTTTAAAATTAATCCAAAGCTTTTATTGACGATTGTCTTGAAATCGCTACTGAATATATAGAATAATTGTTTATATATATATATATATATATATATATATATATATATATATATATATATATATATATGTAATTGTTATTACATATAATTTTCTATAAATAATAAAAATAGAAAAAAATTCTTTTAAAAATATAAAAAAATATATATTAATAAATTTTTAAAAAATTTAAATTGTATTATATTATTTATTTTAAAATTAATATTAAATATATTTTTACAGTTTTTCATTCAAATAATATTTTAATTAATTTTATATTATTAATAAAATTAAAAAAATATTATTTTTATAATACAAAATATACATATAATAATAAAAATTTATATATATATAATATAATATTATATAACAAAATTTAAACTTAAAAAATATATATTATTTAATTTTATAATAACATTGTTTTATATATATATATATATATATATATATATATATATAAACATTCATTTTTTAAATAATATATTTATCTAAAAAACTTTTTTTAAATAATATATCATAAATAAAAATAAAATATTATAAAAAACTTAATTTAATTGTAAAATAAACTGCAAATATATATATATATATATATATTATTAATTTAAAATAAATAATATAACACAATTTAAATTTAAAAATAAATTTATTAATATATATATATATATATTGTTTAAAATATATTTTTTATTTTTTATAAAAAAATTATATAAAATAATAATTGATATAAATAAAATAAATAATTAATATAATATAATATTTTATAACATAAATATATATATATATATAATAGAAATAAATAAATTATTAATTTTTTAAATAATATATTTATTTAATAAAATTAATTCAATTATTAAAATAAATACTAACATCATCCTTGTTTGATCTTTCGAGAGGAATTCATAGGAGAGAAACATTAATGAAACATGATTTCAACCCACCTAAGAATTAACATCACTCTCAACCTTAAACCTTAAGGTATTAAGGTTATGGGTCATATAACTTTCTCATTCTTAATGATCTCTCCCTCAAGCGAGTCGTCTACATTGATACATCTCCTAAATACTCACTGCCGATCAACCTTCGGCTCTTTCGAGGGATTCACTGGGAAGAAACACATCAATGAGACATGAGTCAAACTCATATAAGGAATTGACAAAACTCTCAACTCAAAATCTTAAAGTATTAAGTTATTGGTCATCTTTCCTTATATGTTACTCAATTTTCTCATTGTTCCGCAATATGAGACTTAAAATCACACTTATATACTTTTGATATATAAGAATATAAGTAACACGATTTTAATTTACATTAAAATTATTACTAGTTCTAATAGTCATACATCGATTTCTTCATTTTAAAATTGAGTAACATAATATGATTTAATCCATTTAAGTAATTTTTAAAAAATTTAACCCATATCCTTAAAATGCTAGCATTTTTTAAATTATTACAATAGTATGATTTTAGTTCTAATAGTCCTACATTGATATCTTCATTTTAAAATTGAGTAACATGATTTAATCCATTTAAGTAAATTTAAAAAAAATTAAAATGTCTTTAAAAGTGATCGGTACCCTCACATTAAATATTCTGACATATGACAGAGATAAATAAAAATTAATTTAAGAGTAAAATATATTTTTCATAAAAATATAAATATTTATATTTAATAGATTTGTTTTATTTTCATACAATATCAATTACTTCATTAAGATTTTAATATTATCATTGAAAAAATAGTTAATTTTATCTCACGTAAATCATAAAGTGATTTGTATACTAAGTATAATTTTAATATAATGAAATTTCAATTTCATGAAAGATTATGATTAATTACGGATGTGTACGATAATATTAATAAAATTTTTCTTTAGAGTGAATTTTGAGCAATTGTTGGATATTATTTAAATTCAAACATGAGTATAATGATCCATATCACATAAAACTAATGATTTCTCACATGTGATGATTAAAAGTTTAATAGAGTAATTAATAATATATTAGAATCAAACAAATTTTTTTAATTATATTAAGCACAATTATTTGTTATAATTATGGTATGAAAAACATATTTTATCTTTAATTTAATTATCTATTTAATGAAGTGTGTATGATAGTAAGAAGAAAAAAAAATTAAAATTCCATGGCACTAATGGTGGGTAACTCCTCTATCCATTTATTGAAATTTTATTTGTATAATGTTTCAATCAAAAAAATGTTAAAGCATGGGTTACTATGTGATAAAGTATTTAAAGTAATATTTATATCTTGCGAATAAAATTAAATTCTTTGAGCTTCAAATTAGAAATATCTATATGATTTTTTTAACTAATTTACCCTTCTAAGTAATAAACATTGTTTTATTGAGTGAAAACAACGATTTTAGTGTATGGCATAGCAAAGTTGTTTACATTTATAGACTCCCATAGACAAAATAATTCTCAATTATTTATTAATTGAATGGTTAAAATAAAAATTTGTAAAGAATAAATTAAATGATATATATCAAAAGGCACACAAGCTATCATACAAAAAGTGTTTCTACCTCCATACCTTGCCGCTATAATACGTAGATTTAGTTTATCTCCAGAGATTAAAACACACTTAACTTATTTCTACATCATAAGAATATAATTACATTACATCATAAGTACAAGGTTTTGTTGAACATTCAAGGACTTGATGTTGCAAATAATGATCATGAAGAATGTTGATTTTGATGATGATCCAAGAGCTTAAAGACTTAGAGTATTGAAGATTGAAGATTGATGATTTCTGTATTGTAATAACTCTGTTTTAGTTTGATTGAGTCTGTAATTATAGAATCTAAGATAGCCGGTACATAGTCTGTAACTTAGAAGCTTCAAAATGCTCAAATTTATCATGCAGGCTCGGCTTTAATCGATTATATAGGTAAATAATCGATTAAAACAGTGGGAAAACCACTTTCTATACAAAGTCACTGTTTTAATCGATTAAACAACAAAATAATCGATTATTTCGCATCTGTTCAGTACTGAATAATCGATTATTTCACCAAATAATCGATTAATCCAGAGAGGTTTGGGTTCGACGTATTTGGCTTCTGTTTTAATCGATTATCACTCCAAATAATCGATTATTTCAGTTTGTTTCTGATTTTAAACATCAAACAAACCCTATTTTTGAAAATCCAATTACCAAGAACCCTAGTTTCGAAATCCCCAATTCCTAAACCCTAATTTCCCTACTTAAACTCTGCTTTGGCACTGAGAAAAAATGAACAACTCTTTCCATACAAAAGTTAAGTGACGTGAGTGTCAGAGAACTGTTTGTTGCAAGGAAAGGGGGCTTTTGGAACCTGGTGTGGGCTAGAAGCGATAAGAATCACTAAGTGGAGTTCTTAGTGGATTGTGTGTTGTGCCGTCTCTGGGGAAAGCTGTTCTTCATCTCTTGTGGATTTCAAGAGAGGTGTTGTCTTTACTTTATCTCTTTGATTTGTAAACTGTTTGTAACAATTTGTTCTTAGTGACAGCGTTAATCCTCTTTTGAGTGATTAGCAATTGGACGTAGGGTCTTTTGATCCGAACCAGTATAAACCTACTGTGTAATCTTCTCTACTCTTCTCTATTTACATTTACGCAATTTTTAATCGGTAAAATTTGGGGAAAATTTTGAAAACCTAATTTTTATTAAGAAACCAATTCACCCCCCCTCTTGGTTTTTGTCCGACCACGCGAACATCTCAGCTGCGCGATTCTAACAAGTGGTATCGAGCTTGCTTTGATAGTCATTCAAACTTTTCGAAAATGGCCGGACAAAATCAAACTTTTGCCGAAGGTGCGTCTATCAACAGACCTCCACTTTTTGCGGGTCAAAATTATCCTTTTTGGAAAGTACGTATGCAAATATTTTTAGAGTCTGTTGATAGAGGCGTTTGGGACGCAATTTTAAACGGTCCATTTGTTCCTAAAATTACAGAGAACGGTGTTGACGTTCTTAAACCTTTTGATAGATGGACTGCAGACGAAAGTCGAAAAGCACAATTTGATGTTAGGGCTAGAAACATTATTTCATCTGCTCTAACCCTTGATGAGTTTTATAGAATTTCAGTTTGTAAAAGTGCACAGGAAATGTGGGAAATGCTTAGAGTGACCCACGAAGGAACTGACGACGTCAAAAGAGCACGTAAAAATTCTTTAATCCAAGAATACGAGATGTTCCGGATGCAACCCGGCGAAACGATTTTCGACGTTCAGAAACGTTTCACTCATATCGTGAACCATCTCACCGGACTAGGTAAAGTATTTGACGTTGATGAATTAAATGTTAAAATTTTGAAATCTTTGGATAGGAAATGGCAACCTAAG